CTTTTCCTGTCTGTGGTGGAATTGTCCAAATTCTTTGGCTTGAACTTCAGTGTCAACTTTCTAAATCAACAAGATTTTAATCCTCTGATGGCAGAACGTTAGGAGTGTCTGTTTCTGGCCTGGATTTTAGTTGCTAGGGTGCTAAGTATGCAGGAAAAGAATTGCTGTAGAAATTAAAGTTTCCAGGGATTTTATTGCTACGCTGAGTCATTTATCCTCTTTGTGTGTTGGGGCTGAAAGTTAGCTGGAGAACTATTTATTTTTTCTTTCTTTTCTAACACCAGTGATCAAAGCCTACTTTGGCCCAAGTCCCAATTTTCTAATAATCAAGCTAAACTTCAGCATGGTGTGAATACTACAGTTAGTTACATTCTGTGTCTAGGAATGGGACGGTTCTTAAAGTCATGCTGCTATCTACCGCAGGGCTTCCATATCACTTCCTCTTTCAACCCTGTGTTGTGGATTATTTTATGGAAAAAATATACTAATATTTTGTAAAGCTTTCCTTTGCTTATGTTCAGTTATGAGTGATATCTACTTGTCATCATCAAGAAATGTTTTAGCTGATGTGATGGCTGATGCCTGTAATCCCAGGACTTTGGAAGGCTGAGGTGGAAGGATCACTTGAGCCCATGAATTTGAGATCAGCCTGGTCTGAGACATGGTGAGACCCTGTCTCTCCAGAGAGAAAGAGAAATGTTTCAATTTCTTGTCTATTGATAGTATATGTCTCTGGCCTAATGCCTTGCTTTCTCTTCATTTTTCTTACATGCAATTTTTGCTGGTAATTAAAATAATATTTGGGAAAGAAAAATATGTATCCAGATAAATATGTCATCAAGAAATTGGAATTTGTAATTGGGTTCATTTAACAATTAATAGTTTTCTATATGTGTTTTTTCTACTAATGATTTCTTTCTAGGGCATTCTAAACTCTCAAATGTCGCCCATGCACTTTGCTACCTTTTAATGAAAGCTGTAGAGTTATAGTAGAGTTTGTTCAGAATCTGTTGCTCCTCAGTGATGGAGAGCAATTTGTTAAGCATTGTATTGAAATGGTAAGGGTTAATGGCCTTGTTAATCATGAGGCTTTTTTTTTCAATATCTGAAAAAAATAGAATTATATGCTAATATGTAATTGAATTCTATATTTTCTGCAGTTACACAGCTCTCTATTGGAGGGGAACTTGAATACCATTTCTCCAAAAAATAATATAGATCTCTTCTATTATTTTAGAAAATCTGTCTTCTTTTTTTAAAAAAAAAACCTGTCAGGCATATTTGGTCTAACCTTCTATATACAAGTAGGTAAGTTGTCATTTAGTTACATTTTGCAGATGAGGCAAGTGAGGCTCATAAAATTTAAGTAATTCTTAAGATACCTAGTAAGAAAATGCTAGAATCTAAATTGTCTATTTCTAATTAAAGTCATGTGGCTATCTCCCACAGGGCTTCCATGTCACTTTCTCTTTCAACCCTGAGTTATGGATTATTTTGTTGAAAAAACTATCATTTTTGATGTTTAGGAGAGTTTTCCCTTGCTTGGGTTCAACCATGAGTGATATCTACTTGTCATCATCAAGAATATTTTCAGCTGAGCTGCTCCTACGTTAAATGAGCTCTCTAAATTTAAGACTAAAAAATTAGTAAAAACATATTTTATCAAGTATCTAATCTGTGCAATAGACCAATATGGCCAGGACAGATGTGCAAAAGTGAACATGGCATGACTGAAGAGTTAACCAACGATCTGAAGAGTGAACAATGAAGAAACAGGGAAGATCTAAAATCATATCACTGGGTTCATGGACAGAGAAGATACCATTATAAACAACCAGAAGAACAATAAAAAGATGCACAGTAAGCACAGGTTTTTTTTTTTTTGTCAGAATAGCATCTTTATGATATTATAGAACTGGAGTTGTCTCAGGCATGTTAATTTAAAAAGGTTTCCTGGAGTATCCTAGAGAATTTGACGTCTCTAGAAACTGTTGCCTGTCTTGTGTCATCACGGATGCCTTCTGGGCTCCTGGTGGCTCCTTGGCTGCAGTTATTGACCATGGCATTGAGTGTCTGTCCTACTTGGTTCTGGATGTTCTTGACTCCTGGATGCCCCTGTTCATCCCTGTGACCTGGCCTCTACCAGGGTCTGAACCTGCTGCTTCCTTGCTGCTTTTCAGTGCTGACTCTGCAAATTCCTGGTTTAAATTCTGCTTGGCCCAGAAGTAAGTGCCAGTGGGGATATAGGTAGGAAAAGCGAATGGAGGGTTACATAATGGTCCAAATAACTCTTGCCAAATTCAGTTCAGCCAGAAGTATTCATTTTGATGTGGATTAGGTGTATAGAAAAAGAATCTTTTGATCAAAGCTCTCAATTTAGTAATTCCTGGTTTCAACATGCCATACAATAAAGGAGTCCTAGTTTTATTATTACCCAATGCATTGAGTAGAGACAATTAAAATATACTCTGTAACTAAGAGATCTGTTGTAGAAAAGATAACTAAAAATAAGAAATCTCAAGTGCTATTATTCTGGATAGACAGTCTACAATAGTGAGGTGGGTTTAAATATATAAAAATTATCCTAGTGTAGTTAGATCTTTTAGGACCAAAGACTCAAAATCTCAATGGATTTTACGTTATTTGAGCCTCTGAGTTGGAAAGACATCTCTTCTCTCTCTTTCTTTCCCTTTCTCCTCCTACTCTACCACCTGCTTTCTTTCTCCGTTCCTTCCTTCCTTTATTCCACTTTTCTCTTTCTCTCCATCTTTCTGTCTTTCAAATTGAGCATATGTATTATTAAGAGTAGTTAGAGTGACCTTGATCTCCAAGATAAACTAACTGTAATCAGTGTTTTCATAGAAGCGTCTTGTGCAAAACGAGATTGCTGAAAATGGGAGAATTTGGTCTGCCTATTTGTAAGAGATGGTTCTTGAGCAATGTTATAGAGGAAAAGATCCTGTCTCTCAATGAAGACTATTATATCATCAGTATCAATCCACCATCAGAAACAAAGAATAAAGAGCCCAAGTTTTATGAATGTTCCAGTAGTTCTTTATGTTCTCTTGTACTTTGTAATTTTTTTTTGAATTTTAGGCAATTTTCTAGGTATATAGAAGTTATGGTTTTAATTTGCATTTCCCTAGTCACTAATGATATTGAATACATCATTCACAATGTTGAACAACTTTCACATAATTTTCTTAGTTGCTACCCATATCTTTTCTCTGGTGAATGTTTATTCAAATCTTTAACCTAAGTTTCATGGCTATCTTCTTCTTATTTGATTATAACAGTTCCGTATGTAATCTGGATGCAAAGCTTTATCAGACACGCATCTTGTAAATAAGTCAAATATCCATACCAAGATTTTGCAGCTAGAGAAAAGAGGGCATTTATTTTCAGGGCACCAAGCAAGAAGAATTGGGCAGCTCACACTTAAGAACTGACCAGCCTCATGGCTTCCAAGTGAGAGTTTTTTAAGGTAGAGGTAAATTTCAGAAAAGCAGAAGTTACAGGCAAAATTGTAAATAAAGATATGAGGTTATATATTGGTTTAACATAAAAAGGAGGGATATCTTTAAGGTGGGGCTTACAGAACATGGGTGAATTTAAAGATTCTCTGATTTGCAATTGGTTAAGGGAGATAAGCTTTGTCTAAAACTTGGGGTCAGCAGAAAGGAATGTAAAGGTCTGGCATGTGGGTGTGACTTCCTCTAGGCCCCTCTAAAAAAGATTTAGAACAAAGACTGTTGGTAGGAGTTTAGTCCTGAGTTCCACTTTATCTGAGATCTATGTGCTAGCAGACGGCATTTTCCATTTGGTGAGAGTCCAGTATTCTGAAAAACACCTCAAGGACATATGTTAAGGTGTTATCTCCAGTTTGCATAGGGGACCAAACATCCTGTGACTCTAACATTTTTGGCCATTTTTTAAGCTGTTATTACCTTCTCACTTACCAGGTTGTTCATTTATTATCAGACACGGCTAGGTGCTTTGAATTTCCCTTGAAGGAACTCAAGAGTTTCTTTTCTCTCCATGCCTTCTGGGGAGGCTGGTAGCCCCCTGAGAGGGTTTTCTACTTTGTTTTTCTTTAGCCTGTGGCCTGTGCTTTCACTTTCTTAGCAGTGCCTTTCAAAAAACCAAAGGTTTTGAGTGATTCCAATTTATATGTATTTTTATAGTTGATGCTTTTCTTCTTCTAAGAAATATTTTCCTAATCTAAAGTTACAAGGATTCTCTCCTCAGTTCTCCTCTAGAAGTTACATGGTTTAAGCCTTTAGAATTATGCTTGTGAAATATTTCTATCACTTTAGAAAATAATTTGGTAGTTTCTGATAAATCAAGTGTATCTTTAGCATATAATCTATCAATCTCACTTCTAGGAATGAACCCAAAAGAAGTGAAAACATTTATCTGTATGAAGTCCTATGCATACATTTTTACAGTGGCTTTATTCATAATTGCCCCAAATTGTAAACAGCCTAAACATCCATTAACTGATGAATAGATAAACAAATTGTGGCATATCCATATAGTGTAATTAAAGTAAAAGCTATTGGTACATGTAACAACATGGGCTCAGATAAAAAACATTATAAGGGAAAAAGTCAAACACAAGAGCTACAGGGTACGGTATTCTGTTTATATGACATTTTAGAAAAAACATAAGAGACAGAAACCAGATGATGTTTTATCAGATGCTAAGGGTGAGGGAAAGGAACTGATTACAAAATGGCTCAAATAAACTTTTTGGAGAAATGGAAATGATCTATATCTCAGTTAAGTTACGATTGATATGGTTTGGATCCGTGTTTCTGCCCAAATCTCATGTTGAATTTTAGTTCCCAGTGTTGGAGGTGGGGCCCAGTGGGAGGTTAATTGGAGGTTAATTGGATCATGGGAATAGCTTCTCATGAATGGTTTAGCACCATCCCGTTGGTGCTGCTGTCATGATAGTGAGCGAGTTCTCACAAAACCTGGTTGATTAAAAGTCTGTGCCTTGAAGTCTCAGAGTGGTCCAGTACGCAGTGGCCCCAAGCCATTCTCTGCACCTAAACCCGAAACCAGCCCATCCCCCAAACCAGCCACAAAGAAGGAGCCAGCTATGCTTGAACTGGAGGGCAAGAAGTGGAGAGTGGAAAATCAGGAAAATGTTTCCAACCTGGTGATTGATGACACAGAGCTGAAACAGGTGGCTTACATTTACAAGTGTGTCAACACTACATTGCAAATCAAGGGCAAAATTAACTCCATTACGGTAGATAACTGTAAGAAACTTGGCCTGGTATTCGATGACGTGGTGGGCATTGTGGAGATAATCAACAGTAGGGATGTCAAAGTTCAGGTAATGGGTAAAGTGCCAACCATTTCCATCAACAAAACAGATGGCTGCCATGCTTACCTGAGCAAGAATTCCCTGGATTGTGAAATAGTGCCAAATCTTCTGAGATGAACGTCCTCATTCCTACAGAAGGTGGTGACTTTAATGAATTCCCAGTTCCTGAGCGGTTCAAGACCCTATGGAATGGGCAGAAGTTGGTCACCATAGTGACAGAAATTGCTGGATAAACGAAGTGCCACTGGATTCTTTGCCCTCCCTTCACACCATGGGATAAAGCTGTATCAAGATGGTTCTTTTCTAGATTTTCTCTACCTTTCTGCTCTTAAAACTGCTTCTCTGCTTTGAGAAGCACAGCTACCTGCCTTCACTGAAATATACCTCAGGCTGAGATTTGAGGTGGGATAGCAGGTCAGTTGATCTTCTGCAGGAAGGTGCAGCTTTTCCATATCAGCTCAGCCATGCCGCCAGTCCATCCTGAAGGAATTGCCAACCAGGACTGATGATGCATTTTAGCTTTGAGCTTTTGGGGATTATTCTACCAACAAATAGTCCATTGAAAAGAAAAGAGTCCCAGGAATTAACAGATCAGAATGTTCACACTGGTTAATCTTTTTCTTTTTCTTTTTTTTTTAGTATTTGTTCTGCTCAATGGTTAATCTTTTTCTAACAATGAGCATGAAGATAGCAGAAGCTGATGTGTTTCCAGATGGTTCTTCTAACCAAACTAATTTTTTACTGTTGACAAGTGAGGCAAGGGTTGCACTGGACCAAAGGCTGAGGCTTGGCTATCTAGCATTCCACGCAAAATTGTTCCCTATAAGCATTCCTTTTATTCTCTGTTCCATCCTGGGTCTGCCTCAATCATGACATAGGAGCGTCGCCGGTACCAGCTGCTGTGGCAGTGTCCTTCATCCAGGGCAGTTAAAGGAGCCTGGACCCTTTCTTTCTCTGGGATTCCTGTCCAGCACCTTCCTACAGAGATGACTTGAAAGGAAAAACACACCATTCCAAGGAGTCTGGCATTCCTGAATCCTCCTTCTTCGCTAGGTGCCTGCCACCTGTCTTCACTGCCTCCTTTTCCCTGTCATGCTCATCAGCTATGGCTTCTGTCCAAGCACCTGAACAGAGGACTGAAGCCTCCACTATAGGCTGGTTTTAGGTCTTGATTTATGTAAGAATCTTGCACAGCACTGCTAATGTAAAGTTCAGTTTTTTCCCTCTAGGACACACACCAAAATATGCAACTTTTTTTGGTGGGAAGAGAGATTGGCCTGTGATTTCTATCCATTTCCTGAGGCCTGTGGAAATGAACCTTTATGTACTTAAAGTTATACAGAAAATAGAATAAAGTTAATACCAAAAAAAAAAAAAAGTCTGTGGCACCATCCTCCTTGCTCCCTCTTCCTCTTGCTCTGGCCATGTAAGATGTACCTGCTCCCCCTTTGCCTTCCACCATAATTGTGAGTTTCCTGAGGCTTCCTTAGAAGCCAGGCAGATACTGGCACCATACTTCCTGTACAATGTGCAAAACTGTGAGCCAGTTAAACCTCCATTCCTTATAAATTACCCAGTCTCAGGTATTTCTTTACAGCAGTGTGAGATCGGATTAATATAATGGTTATGTGACATTTTATGTTCTTCAAAACACATTGACCTGTATGTCTGAAAATGGTGAACTTTTCTGTTTGTAAATTTTACCTGGAAAAAAACTCTGAGTAAATAAAATTTCTCTCAAAGGGCTCAAGCTTTTACAAAAGTATTTTCAAAGAAAAATTTTATGATCTGTTTAGAAATCTCTGCCTTCCATTTTTTTTCTATGAATGAACTAATATATTCTAGAATGTGAGAGAACTCAACAACAAATTCCCAGCTTTCATATAGGTGCCCATACATATTGCAGAATTTCTCCATTTTTATTACAAATAGCACCTATGTTAGTGTTTCCAGCTAGAAAAATCAGACACTGATTAGTCTTTTGCTCTTATTCTTAATAAGTTATCTGTTCAATGATTGCTGCCTTACTTTGATTCAAACTTATCTCCTATTCTCTCCTTACTTCTCACTGTTAGTCTAGGCTTCTGTGCAATTTGAATTAAACCAGTAAATTTGATTTTTAATTTCTTTTTCTACCTGTAGGCTCTAATTCTTTCAATTCATATTGAATATGGTGACCGACACATCTCAAAATGCAGGCTTCATCAAATTGCCTAACATATCATGATTATACCTTCCATTTGTCTTTAAATGCTTTGGTTAATATGGCTTTAAACAAAATGTTCTCTCAAGAATAGGTGTATACTTGAATATAAAGTAAGAATTTATTTTTGATGTCCTCAGCCTCCCGAGTAGCTGGGACTACAGGCACATACCACCATGTCCAGGTAATTTTTGTATTTTTAGTAGAGACAGTGTTTCACCATGTTGGCCAGGATGGTCTCAATCTCTTGGCCAACAGGATCTACCCGCTTCGGCCTCCCAAAGTGCTGGAATTACAGGTGTGAACCACTGCGCCTGGCCAACAACTGATTTTCTATAGAATTTGGTGATGATTGACAAAATGTTGGTTTCTTAGTTCACATTGTTATAACAAAATACCATAGATTTGGGCAGTTTATAAAGAACAGATATTAATTTCTCACACTTCTGGAGGCTGGAAGTCTGAGATCAGAGTGCCTGCAGAGGTGAGGGCCTTTTTGCAGGCTGCAGATAGCCAACTTCTTGTGTATTCACATGGTGGAAAGAAAGCTAGCGAGCTCTCCAGATTCTCTTTTATAATGGCACTAATCCAGTTCATAAAGGATCCACCCTCAAGAACTAATTACATCCAAAGGCCTCCTAATAACATTACACAGGGGATTGGGATTTCAATGCACAAATTTTGGGGGGGACACAAATATTCAGTCTATAACAGCCGGGTTTATTGGGCTCTTGGTACCCAAAAGATTTGGAAAATGCCTATACTTGTACCACCTTCTCCTCTCATTAATCTATGGAGTACCATCATAGAAAAATTGAGGCTTTATAGAAAATTAAATTCTTAGAAATCCTTTAGGACTTTGCATCTTTTCAATCATATGCAAATATCTATCAGAATTTGCTCTTTTCAATAGCAATTTTGACAACATAATCAGTAAAATATGTAGTGTATACTGGATAGAGAAGTCCGTTGATATTTAGGAGTCTTTGGCTTTAGCCCTGGGTCTATGGTCACTTTCTCCTGGGCTTTGATTAGTCCTCCTTCAAATGGAGAAGACAGGTGATATGGTTTGGCTGTGTCCCCACCCAAATCTCACCTTGAGTTGTAAAAATCTCTACGTGTAAAGGGCGGAGCCTGGTGGAATCACTGAATCATGGGGATGGTTCCCCCTATATTGTTCTCATGGTAGTGAATAAGTCTAACAAGATCTGATGGTTTTATAAATGGGAGTTCCCCTGCACAAGCTCTCTTGCCTGCTACCATGTAAGACATAACTTTGCTCCTCATTCATCTTCTGCCGTGATTGTAAGGCCTCCCTAGCCATGTAGAACTGTGAGTCAATTAAACCTCTTTCATTTATAAATTACCCAATCTTGGCTGTGTCCTTATTAGCAGCATGAGAACAGACTAATACAGCAGGACTGGAAGTTGTGCATAATCTTTTCAGGCTTTAACACTGTTTGATCATATGTCGTTCATAACCACAACAGATACTTAAATAGATGTGCTATCCTCAATATTTGCTGTACTCTCCTTTCTTTTAGTTGCAAAATTAATATTTTATCATATACAGATGGCCTGAAAGATGGATGCATATTGGATGTATATTGTGGCTTATAGTAGAAAGACAATACCAAAACTTTGATATTTTTTCCTCTCTGCTGTAGTAGTGCTTGTGAGGGGTTGAGCCCTATTCACATTGTTAGCAAATGTTAAAGCAAACAGAGGTGAGTCAGCATATCAGTGACTCATAATAATTTTCATAATTAAGCTCATATTTTTACATTTTTCTTGTGAGGAGAAAAACAAGCAGAGATAGAAATGATTTCATGATTTTGTGATGACAAATACATCAGTAAGTAGCCAAGCAGTCAAGAGTAAATGCTACCAATTAACTTTGTGACCAGAATAGGCTTCCCTGTGTGCTTGGGGATCCTGTATTTACACTAAAAGTCTCAGCTGCCCAAACCTACAGAGGACCTGAGTGGCAGAGCGTGTGGACAGATGGCCTATTTTCTTCTCTGGGTTTGTGGGAGTTATTACTTTCCCTTTCATGCTTAAATATCTTACATTAATTCCTTCTCATGACTGATATTCTCTACTTCAACTTATATTTTCCCTCCTAGATGGTTTTACTGCTGCAGTGAAATCATTTAGGTCTATAAGTCAAAATTTTTCAAGCTATAGATGAGTGGTCCAGTTATCTTTCTGAGCAGTAATCATAATTCTGACATAAAATTAATATTCTCAAATGAAATTGATAAATGTAAAACAGAAGTGGGCTGCTGAAAACCCATACTACACACTTTTTAAATTCATCTAAGAATTACTGTGGACCCATCAAGTATTAGGATTTTCCCTAGACTTTTAGAAGGTCTAAACATAGTGACCACCAAGGAGAAACTTCCTTACAGGTAAAGAGTGTTCTGAAGAGAGTATCTCAATTGTATACTAAGAAATATAATTACTAAAAGATTTTCTTCCCACCCAACATAGAGTTCATTTTGATATGAAGGCTAGAAGATGTCTCATAGAGGAGAGACCTTTGTGACTTTAAGTGCTTTCCCAGCTTAGCTGTAAAAATATCTCCTCCAACATAAACTAACTTTTTAACCTAACTGGGCAGCCAACTATCATATTGTTAATTTTATCAAAAATATCTGTGGTTGTGTGTGTGCGTGTGTTCATGCATGCATGTGTGTCTGTGTGTGTTGCTCTGCTTAATAAATTGAGAAGAAATTTGTGCTTGCTCTGGCATTAGTTGAGAAAGGGAATAAGTGAAAGAAACTAAAGTTACAAAAAGATAGATGAGTTAGGGCAGGGTTCTGGAAGTGAGAAACTCCTGTAGTGTGAATGGTTTTAGACAAAGGGATATGAAATGCTCAATTTTATGTTTTAAGTTCTGTTGGACTTCGATGTAACACTGTGTTGTTACTTTTTGAATCTTTAGTAAAAGCCTATTATGTAAAACTGCTTGGTAAGAGTGGTGTTTGCCAGAAATCAAGATTAGAAGAGACTGTATATGACTTGAGGTCAATATACGTTTGAAGGAAGTTGCAGTTGCTAGAAGGAAGATAAAAGTGAGTTGGGAAAATCAGGAGAGGCAGGGCTCAGAGCTAGAAGTATAGATAGTTAGGAGAAAATGTAAGCCCGGACAAGCTTCTGTAATTGGGCCTGAGTTGTTTTGGTTTCTTCTCTGGGTTTGTGTAAGTTATGACTTCTCCCTTCATGCTCAGAGGGCTTGGAGACATGGACATGGAGGTAGCCATCTGGACTGAGATAGAGAAAAATTCTGAAAGTAATATTTATAAATTTAGAATTCCGTCTCTGAAAATCACTAAAGAAACATTATAAAGTGACATCAGCAAGATGGCAGAGTAAAAGATCCCAACCTTTGTCCCCCATAGAAAAGAATTAGACAGCTCTCCATGAATTAAAATAGCCCCGAGAGAGCTTGGGAGCCAAATCAGGATGCTGTGGAAACGCA